TAGTCACTTTATTTGTACTCTACTCACTTTCAAAAATTTATGTTCATTCCTCAGGGAATGACATGTTTTCTTTTCTCCGCTCTCCCTCTGTCCCATAACACCAAGTGTGATGCTAAATGTATTACTAGCATCCCCTAATTTACAAAGAGGTTTTGTTTTAAATGTTTAATTGTAAAGTGATTGACACTCAGAGTACATTTGCCAAAGAAATCATTTTATAAACGATTGTTGGATTTTGAAGCTCAACAACAAAAGCCAAAGTAACATGCAACATGCACTACTAAGAAAAGCAGTTCCTTCCTTTCCCTGATAGTGTTATCACTGCCAAGACAGCAGTAGGGGAAAGAGAATAACTAGACTATTTTAGTAAATTGGTGGGTTTGGGTATAGAAGGAAAGAGCATATCATGAAAAGTAGAGATCATCTAAGGGAGAATTAACCAGTTCTTTAATTCAACAGATATTTATTGAGCATCTATTATGTGCCAGAGTCCATAGACCCAGTTGCTGGTCCTCATGAACCTTCTTGCTTTAGAGTATAATATACATTCCTGGATAGAAATGGGTAAGATTACTTAGGGAAGAAGTATAGTAAGGAGGAGGAAGGCCACTGTTAGGTTGAATTGCCTTCAAAATATCCAATTTCTCTGTTAGCATTTTCCGATTTATTTATTTATTTATTTATTTATTTATTTATTTATTTATTTATTTTACTTTCTTGTATGGCCTTAGGTCCCACATTTTAGAGATTAATTTGTATTAACAATCTTAAGGCATGTAAGTTTTTTAAAATAATATTATAAAGCCAATACCCCTTCATTCTGATTTAATCTGGTCATTTTTCTTTTGACTCCCAACTGGGATCAAGTATAATGTGGAATTGGAATTTTCTCAGTTTGAGAGCATGAAATCTTTTGAAAAGGAAGGGTACAGGAGGAGGCTTGATGGGCTGATTTTAGATGGATTCTAGAGATGAACTACCTGGAAAATCCGTGATTTATATCAAGCAATCAAGAATTTGGTAGATTTTATATTTTATAACACAGTTTTCAGTAAACAACAACAACAAAAACCAAAGTGATAGTAACTGAATGAGAACACCCAAAACATTTCCAGTGAAGTTGTATATTTTATATAAATGGGCTGCACTCAGTGTACCTACATTACTGAGGTCTTGGTTCAAATGTACCTTTTCAGGAAGACATTTCTTACCAAAAGTAGCTTCCTTCAGATACGTTTCATAAATTTGCCCTGTTTCAATTTTCTTTCATAGTATTTACCACTGTATGGAATTGCCTTTATTTGTGTAGTGCCTAATTTATTTGCTGATTGTCTTGCCTACCAGAAAGAAAGCTTACTTAGGGCAGGGACTTTATGTGTCTCTTCTCTAATGTAGTTCCAGCAACTAGAATCATAGCTGGCACATATTAAGCCCTAAATAAGTATTTGTTCAGCGAATGAATTAACAGTGGAACTACAAAGGTATGATAGACACAGTCCTTCCTGGCTCAAAATTTAAAGTCCAGTGGACAATACAGAACACTAATTAGGTAATTGTAAATAGAATGGGGAATAGAATGTGTGCTGGGGAAATACAAAGGCACAAAAGTGAGCTCTAAGTGATGATCTGATCTTACTGGTCTATGGTAATGAAGTAATACTGCTTTCAAAATTTATATACTTATAGCTAGCTATAAAATTTCCTTTTCAATCCACACTGGATTTTAGGGAAATTAGAATTTATTTAAACAATGAGGGGATGGTCAAAGTGGGCGAGAGGGAGTGGGAGATACGTGCTTCTAGTTACAGAATGAAAAAGTCACAGGGATAAAAAGCACAGCGTAGGGAATGTAGTCAATGATATTGTAATAGCGTTGTATGGTAACAGATGATAGCCACGCTTGTGGTGAGCACAGCATAACAAATAGAGAAGTTGAATCACCACGTTGTATGCCTAAAACTTACGTAACGTTGTGTGTCAACGATACTCAAATAAAAAAGTTTCATAAATAAATGAAGTTAAAAAGATCGTTCGTTTTCTTATGTTTCTTATCTGAGAAACATTAGAATCTTACTCTTGAAACAGTATAATTTCTTGATATTATATTTGGTTTATGAATCTGTCTTTTTAGAGACAAATATATTTATTGACTGAGGTTGGAAAAAAATAACACCCCAAAATGTATTTGAATTTCTGACATAAAGTATGCATCTAATGGAGGTTAGATGGTCAGTTTAGAGGAACTGATTTAATTGCTTATTCTTTAGAGTTCTCTAGAGAAATTCTCTTTTATTTCAGTTAGTTTTTTTTAATAGAGTAAGTAGATATAAATGGCCAGTTAAAGAGATGTGAATATGTTGAAAATTGGCACAGTTAATTTTGGCATTTTGACAGAAGTGTCATTATTTTTTTGCTATGCCTAAAGCTTTCATTTAGGCATATTAACTTGATGAAGTTATGGTGTCAGTATTATAAGATCATAGTCCCTAAGAAATGGAAGAGTTTTAGAATCATGCGCCTTCTCAAAATCAAGGATCCTCTCTTATCATTTCTTTATTCCTAATCTCTATTATAGTATGTGGCATTTCGTTCTTACCTAATACATAGTTGTTAAAATAATATATGAATTAATGTGTATAGTCTAAAATATAGACTTTCAAAGGTTAAATGGCCATATAGGTTCAAATAACTGGTTAATAACAAAAACAGAACCAAGAAACTCAGATCCCTTAATTCTGTTCTTTTTATGACACATTGCCACCATGCTAAATTATTTTTTTTCTTTCGTTATATGTATAAAAAAATGACAAAAAAGTAAAAGGAACTATGTATAATGGGCACACATATATAGGATATTAGGTAGGTTTATGCTCTATTTTGAGTGCTCTGTTTTGATTATGTATTTTATTTTTTTAATGTATTTTTTTAATGTTTATAATTGAGACAGAGAGGGCGAGCAGGGGAGGGACAGAGAGAGGAGACACAGAATCCAAATTAGGCTCCAGGCTCTGAGATGTCAGCACAGAGCCGGACGAGGGGCTCAAACTCATGGAGCCCCGTGAGATCGTGACCTGAGCCGAAGCCGGCCACTCAACTGACTGAGCCACCCAGGCACCCCTGATTGTATATTTTAAACCATAGGAGTCTATGGTTTTATGTAGCAAAACCAAAAAGATTCAAGTCCTAAATGTTTTATATGTAAGTGTACATTTACATATCAACGTAAAAAAAAATCACGTCCACTTGCCTAATCATAAAACATTTAGGAAAACAGACCAGTTCGTTCATTTTCTGTAATACTTTGTCCTTTGTGGTTCTGGGGAGAGTTTACCCTGGCTATACCTTTGTGTGACATTGAAAGGTGGAAGAGTTACAGAAGCCGTTATTGTCCAGCAGCAGTTGTTGGCAGGCACACGGGCACATGTGAAAGTCTCCGTGGCTCCTGGCAAGCTCCTGTTAATTGACCACCCTCATGCCATAGGCAGCTGAAATAATTGGTGGCAAACTCCCCAAAGACTCTTGAGATTAACAGCAGCTTCCTAATGAATATTTTGAGAACCCTTGTCTTTTGTTCTTCAGGCTAAGAACAGCAGCATTAACCTCTCTGGCCTTCACTCCTTTGCTGGTTCTGTTGTGTGGCTTTTGATTCTGTATTAAAGCCCTCACTGTATTAAAGCCTGGAAAACCTAGAATGACTCCTGTTTTTACTAGCCAATCTTAATCGGTACATTGGCAGGCTGCATTTCAGATATGGGGGAAAGAGATTCGACGACACAGAAACTGTAGAGGAGCAGGAGGCTGTTCCTGGGTTGGGTTATTCCACCTGGATCCTTTCTCTGCTCTTGCTTTTAGGCCAAAAAATACATATGTATATACGATATATATACACACACACACACACACACACACACACACACACACATCGTGTAAGAAATTCACAACTGAGCTATCCAGTGTTGGTCATCTTTAACTTCAACTGACCCTGCTTTTTTATTGTCTCCTGTTCATATGTCCTGGCAAAAGTCTCTGTAAGAGTAATTCTCAACTTCTGTCATCTCCTCGCTGCTTTTCGTGGCTAGTGGTTGACATTTAGCTGGGTTTGTACCAGGGAAGAGGACAGTGTGAATATCTTGTTGACAAAGAGTATTCTGTATGATTACAGGGTCCACTATGTTGTACTAGTGTTAGAGGGGCAGGTTGAGAACTTAATATACAGTCTGTTCTTCTGAGGCTCTAAGGAAGTATGAGGGGTCAGATGGGATGACAAAGAGAGGTGTCATTGAGCTGGCCTTAATCTCAGTGAAGATGGAATAAAAATAGCAGTTCTCTGACTTCTACAAAGATTTTTTTTTTCTTTCTGTGATGAATAAGTCATTATTTTCAGTATGTTTTTTAATTGTGTATCTCAAGTTAGAACAGTAAAGAAAAGTTGGAGATATAATGCTAAGATAAAGATTGAGCTGAACCAGTACTAGGAGTGATATAAGTAGCTGATGAATGAAAAATGATTTTTAAGAGCCAGCGTTTAGTTTTAGCCAGAAAGTATTCAGCTCTTGAGCCAAATCAGTTTGGCTTCATTATATTTTCAAGTGACTTCAAATTGAGGTGTCAAGAATAGAGAGAATGTCAGGTGGAATTTTTCAGAGCCTCTGAAGAGCAGTTGGGAGATGGTCGAAGTGTATTGAGCAAAGCAAAGAAATCACAGTAAAGTCCATTTTGCAGAAGCAGAGTATGGTGCTGTCTTATTTCAGGGCGTTTAAGTATATTCCATATGTAGTGTGCAGGCATTGAAGAACCATATCAAAAGTACCTTTAAAATTTCCTATTTGAACTGAATAAAATGAATATTAGTAAAACTTTTATTATGGCATGACTGTAAAAAGATTTTTTTTTAAAGTAGAACTATCTGAATATAATTCGTCAACCTGCCAGTGAATCAGTAAAACGTTGAATTGTTTAGACGTTGCTCTTCTCATCAGTCTTTTTCTTTGGTTACTTAGGACACGAAGTCCCTCAGTATCCAGAGATCAGAATAGAAGATACGACCAAAGAGAAGAAAGAGAAGAATATTCACAATATGCTACTTCAGATAACGCCATGCCTAGATCTCCATCAGATTATGCTGATAGGAGGTCTCAGCGTGAACCTCAGTTTTACGAAGAGTCTGACCATATAAATTACAGGGACTCCAACAGGAGAAGTCATAGGCATTCCAAAGAATATATCGTAGATGATGAGGATGTGGAGAGCAGAGATGAATATGAAAGGCAAAGGAGAGAGGAGGAGTACCAGGCGCGCTATCGAAGCGATCCGAATTTGGCCCGGTATCCAGTAAAGCCACAGCCCTACGAAGAACAAATGCGTATTCATGCTGAAGTGTCCCGAGCGAGGCATGAGAGAAGGCATAGTGATGTCTCTCTGGCAAATGCTGAACTGGAAGATTCTAGGATTTCTATGCTGAGGATGGAAAGACCATCAAGGCAGAGATCTATATCTGAACGTAGAGCTGCCATGGAAAATCAGCGATCTTACTCAATGGAAAGAACTCGAGAGGCTCAGGGACCAAGTTCTTATCCACAAAGGACCACAAACCATAGTCCTCCCACCCCGCGGAGGAGTCCAATACCCATTGATAGACCAGACATGAGACGTACTGACTCACTACGGAAACAGCACCACTTAGATCCTAGCTCTGCTGTGAGGAAAACAAAACGGGAAAAGATGGAAACAATGTTAAGGAACGATTCTCTCAGTTCTGACCAGTCGGAGTCCGTGCGACCTCCACCACCAAAGCCTCATAAATCAAAGAAAGGAGGTAAAATGCGCCAGGTTTCATTGAGCAGTTCAGAGGAGGAATTAGCTTCCACGCCTGAATACACCAGTTGTGATGATGTGGAGATTGAAAGTGAGAGTGTAAGTGAGAAAGGTAAGCACTGGATTCCAATCACACTTTAGCTGTAGTTGATTCCATGAGGGTTTCTTTTTAGGCTGTATTGGTGATTGACATTTAATAGATATTACTACCTTTGGAAGTTTCTTAATGGTGCTGGCCATGTGAAGAAAAAATTCACATAAAAATTTTAAAAAGTGGATATCTTCTGTTATTCTTGTGGAAGAAAAGTCTATTGTTTTTTTTTTAAATCTATTTTGCTTTGTTTCTGAAAATTTTCTTGCATCACTTGATGCTGTATTAAAAAAATATCTATTACCTATAGTTGTAAATTAGCATTTTGTATGTGTTTCTTTTGGCAAGAAACAATATGTATTTACTCTAGAATAGCTGAAAAATTCCTCGAAGTGTAATGAATGAAATACAAACTATCCATAATCTTTTCCCCCAAATATAACCATTAACATTTTGTTGTATTTCTTCCCTTTTCCTATGCATTATATTTTACATGTTTATATATATAATTTTGTTCTGATTTTTTCAACTGATATCATATCATTAGCTTTTTTCCAAAGCCATTAGATGTTCTTCATAAATATGTTTTAAATGGCTGCACTAATCGTCTATTATATAGATGTGTACCACAAACTATTCCTTTATTGGGAGGCATTGCAGTTGCTTCCAATTGCTAGCACAAATATTATAATGGTTATCTTTATATAAGAACTTTTGTCTAATACCTGAGAATTTCACAAATACATACTCATGCTTTGATTCTTACAGACTTTTGGTTCAGAATACCAACTTGCTTTCCAGAAAGGTTATAATGCTCCATACTCCTGTCAGATGTGCTTAAGTTTTGTCTCAAGATACCAAATCTTTGCAGTTGCACAGGGTACAAAATGCTCTCTCTCTGTCATTTTAATTTGAATTTGGTTGTGCAGTTGAATGTTTTATATGTTTGTTGGTGTTTGATTATCTTCTATGAATTGTCTGTTCATTCCTTTTATTTCTCCTGCCCATGTTCCTATTGGGTATTAATTAGTTTTTCTCTTACTGATTTATAAGAGCTTTTTATATGGTTAGGATTTTTACCCATTTAACTGTCATCTGTTTGAAATGTATTTCCCATTTTGATGTTTCTCTACTAGTTTTCTGTGGCCATTTGGAAATATTGAATTTAATATAGCTGTTTTTGCATCTATGGTAATTTTTTCCCATTTCTTTTATCTGTAGAATCTCTTTATTCATCCCCAAATCAGTTAAATATTTAGCTGTGTATTTTCTCATGTTTTTATTATTTACTTTTTTAAACTTTAACTTTTTCATCTTTTTGTAACTTATTTTGGTATATGCCAAAATATACCAGATAGGTGAGTATCTAACATGAATCCCCTATATCACCCACCCTCTTGCACGACACACACAGTTTTCTGGCACCTTTGATGAATAATCGAATCTCACATCCAGGCGAGATTCTTCATGAGAATCAACAGGAATCAATAAATTCAAGAAGGCAGCTAGATATGGTATTAATATGGCATTATTTTGTACTGCACCAAAAATAATTAGTTAGGAAAATGAATGAAAAGCAGTTCCCATTCTGCCCAAAAAACAGAAAATGTGATTTTAAAAATAACCAGTAAGAAATTTAAAAAATAACTAATAAGAAAGCTATAAAACTTACTAACATAAAAGAAGATAGTCATTGAGTGAGTAGGTATTCATTTCATGTTCCTAATTGGGAAGGCTAAATATTGTAAAGATGCATGTTTTTTTCTAAACAGTGTCTTGGGGTTAATGATATTTTAGGCATAATCCCAATTGGTTCCTGTATTTTATTTTTAAAAGTGAATCTGGAGGGAGGGTGTGCGGGAGAAAAATGTTAACTCTTTTTTTTTTTTTCCCTCTGTGCATTGTAGGCTCACTGGGGACTAGAGATGGTAAATTAGACTGACAAAAGACAGATTAAGAGAGAAACACGTTTATTATGTGGATTGTGCATACCTGTGGGAGCTTCCAGCTACTTGAAACTTAAAGGGGGTGGTTAGAACTTGGGTTTCTATAGTATCTTAACAAAAGAACAGTAAATTTTTAGAGAAATGAAAAGACTAGGAAAGGGACTTTGAGTTTCTAGGTAGCAAATCACAGGAAGATAAACGTATGAGTGAACTAATAGGAGATAAGGGTTACCTAGTAAAGTTTGTTACTCAGACTTCTCTGGAGCCTTCTTCTGCCTGGTAGAATAATTAACTTCTGTCCTTCCTTATAGAGAGGGCAGAGGGGACACATTTACAGATTTATATCATACCTATTTTAGGCTAATGGGGGAGTGCAAGGAGCTTTTCTTGTATCTGCTTCTTAGTTGCCTTCTGCTCAAAATAATCCTTATGCCAAAGTGGCATATTAAAACAAATAAGTGATAAAAACATAGAAAGTAGCACAAACCAAAGGGGAAGGGGTAAATTATTCAACAAATGGGCTTGGACGAAATGTAAATACAGTGAGCAAAAAAAGTTAGACGCTCATTTCATACAAGTTGCACGGAAATTATAAATAATAAGAAAATTGTGTTTATTAAAATAGATCTATAAGAAGAAACTATAGATCTTAATTTTATCATAGAGCATATAGAAAGTTTATTTCCCACAAGCTGTAATACTTCCTTAAGTATAATCAGTAGTCTTTAGTTTGGTCGTTTTCCATGTTTATCATAATATTAAGAGGTAAGAAAAAGATAGCTTGGTTATCTTTAGTGGATTAGTTTAGATTCTGTTACGTACTTCTATTATTCTTTGCTAAAGTAATGTCTTCAGTTTTACTACTTAAAGATATAAGAAATAAACACATAAAAATCTCACATAAATAAAAAGCTATATGAGTTGAATGAAAATTTTATGTTATGCTATTTAGTAGAACTAAAACATTTATCAAATACAGAAAGAAACGAAATGTCATTCACATCTGTATCCTCCCTTACTTGAACTCCTAGCAGGCACCTAGACATGGTTCTCCTTCTCATCTGCCTAATAATCTGCTTTACAGGGTATGGTTTCTCCCAACATGTATTTCCAGTAAACAATCATAATTCAGCTTTGGAGGAAGAAATTTAAATAAAATAACACTTTCCTGTTGGATATTACCCCCAATAATAGTATTCAGGGAGGTGAAGTTATAGCTGTTGAGAGACTGGGACAGAGATTAAACTTTGTCATGACTTTTCATCATGAGAGAGGCATTTTTGGTTGCTTGTGGAAAAAGTATCAGTCTGATTTTGGAATACGCTACTTATAAAGATATCTAACATTATGATTCATAGCCATCATTGGTAGTTAACTAATGCTTGAAAATTCTTCCTAATAATTAAAAAGGTTTCATTAGCAGCATTCCCCCCCCCATATGCTTATATGTGGACACATCATTTTGATGAGGATCAACCAACTTTTAAAAGATAGTTATTTCCTTGCTTTATTATCGCTAGACTAAATGACCCCAAAGAATGTGTTTAACAACTGAGACATCTTTCTCATTGTCTTTACATTTCTGTCTCTTTTCATTCTTGTGCACAACCTTTCAAAAATGTGGAAAGCAAATTTGGATCACATAATACAAAGTATTAACCAGCATTGTATAGACAGCACCAGGCAGCATTCTTATTGCAGAAGGATTCTTTGCAGGCCCTTGTATGTCATATTACAGCATCTACAAAACAGCAGGGTCTTTCCTGAGTTTTAAATAATAAAATTCTGTAATTCACAAGAAGCTTATAGTTTAATTTTTTTTCCCCTCTGCTGTCCTGTTGGCTAGCCACCTTCTTCTCCTCCTCCTTCTCTTCCTCCTCCTCCTCCTTCTTTTTTTCCCTAACTTCACCTTTATTGGGGTTTTGGTGGCTTTGGCTCTTGTCTTATTCATTTGTCATTTGTCTCTTTGGATAGATCTTATTATTCTAAATATACAGAATTTCACTCAAACTTATAATAGATGTCATTTCATTCACTAAGTTCTGTTAAATGCTGCTGATAATTACAGTCTATAAGTGATTGGGCCATTATTCGTGAAACAATAAATGGAGAAGAGCTCTTCATGGAGAAGAGCATGGGTTTTAGAATCAGAGGAGTTTAAACCCTGGCTGTGAAATTCATTAACTGCATGATCTTCTCCTCCCTATTTAACTACTCTAGATCTGTTTCCTTATCTACTAATGTGATAGTGTGTTCATTGTTTGGTAATTTGTCGAAAAATAGGTATTAAAAACATTTTTAGATTACTTACTAATGTTCCATGACGGTAAAAAATAATCAAGACTTTTTTGAGACAACTTTCAAGAGTTTTGAATGAGTGTATAGTCATGGTTACATGGATTGTGGTCATTTATGTTGGTTTTGCCTCTTCTAGGATCTGCCACATGTTGAACTATGCTTGTATTTTTAGGCTAAGAAGAATATACTTTTTAGTTTGTTGAGATGTAATTTTGAGACGTAAATCCAATGTGTTGCTAAAGACTAGGCACCTACTTATTCCTTTTTCAGCCAAATGCTTTTTAGTGTCTATAATTTGCAAGATGTTGAATTGGACCTAGTAGAAAATACAGAGATGAATAAGACATAGTTTCTACCCTGAAGAAATTGAGAGTCTAAAATAACTAGCAATATAAGCCCACTGTATTATAGGTACTTTGGACTTAAGAAAGATTTCCATGTTTTGTAACACTTATCTCTTAACTAGGACATAGTTTGCTTTTCACAGTGCTATATTGATTACTTCCTCATAGTTTGTGTTGGGTTAGAAAATTGCAAACTGATGTTTTTCTTTTTTTTTTTGTCTTTGGATTATGGAAGGAGAGAAGTCTTAGATTGCTGATGTCATAGTACCTCTGAATCTAATTGTGAGATCTCTCTCTCTCGAAGTTTAAAGTGTATTTTTCATAACCTTTAAAAAGTGCTATTGACTTTCCAGTTTTGTCTTGTCTAGAGGAGATTTCTCAGTTTCAGTACTATTGAAATTGGGGCTGGATAATTGTTTTGCAGGACTGTCTT